AAGTGGCCATTGTCGTGTTTCGGGGAAGAAGCTGAAAACTTACTTATGAGTGTCTAAAGATTAAAATTAACCAAGCAGAAAAAGACAGATACCACGTGATCTCACTTATTTGTGGAATATAATGAACATAACAGTCTGAGGAATGGGGTAGACCCAGAGACGTGGAAGTGGGGTACAGACTGACAATCTTCAGAAGACGAGGTGGTGGGGGAGGGAAGAGATAAACCACAGAACCTATATGCATATACACATAACCAATGGACATGGACAACAATGCCGGGGATGGGGTGGGGGGATGGGGAGGAGGGTGTCAATGGGGTAAAAAAGGAGAAACATCTGTAACAAAAATAAAATTAAAAAAATAAATAATACATAAAAATTGCGGGGGATTACTTGTTACAGTTCCATTTGTTGGAGGGTGACGGCAAATTATTCATCATTGTGATTAAGAACACACAGCCACAGTGACTCACCCCGGGGAGTCGTCAGCCCGGCCACGTGCCTGCACCCTGGTTTGTGGTGAACGGGGCGACTGAGCAAATGAAGTCACCCTTTTCAGGCTTCAGATGCTGGTGGGGGAAAACACAGCATTTCACAAGTTGAACATTCAAAAAGGCCTACTTGGGAAGGAAGGTCAGACTTATAAAATTGTTCTAGGATGAGGTCCTAGTTCACAGACTGAAGTTTTTGCTTTTTGGGGTACAGCCTACCCAGTAGAGTCAGGCTAAGTAGTAAGAGGGTGGCAGAGAGCACTCACTCAGATCAGAATGCCTGTCTTGCCACATTTTTAAGTTTTAACTGTTGAAGTCAACTCTTTCCTTCTCTCTCAGCCTTTACTACAAGCTACTGAGCTAAAGGAGTCGCCAATGCCACGGCCACTACGCGTGAGGCACGTGCCCAGTGGCGGCGCGCACCACCAGGATGAGCGTGCAGACGTTTTCCTTTTTAGTGGAGTGATTTGGGAAGATGAGAAAGCAAGGGTTACAAATAAAAAGTTTGAAAACCTGTGATCTAATCCCTTCCTGCCACCTCCAGACAGCACTGAGCATAAATCATTCAGACAAACGGTGTCTTATCTACAAGATCTCCTTGAGAGGATGGATTCCACAGCCTCCTGGGTGAAAATTTCTGTCACTGGTATAATTTGGCTTTTGCATCCTGCCTGATAGCATTTGTGTACCTTTTCTTCAGTTATCACGGGAAATGGAGACCATCTGGCTACACTCTTGGTGTAATAGACCTGTGTGGCGCATCACTGTCACTTTTAATAACATATCCTGCTCTCACCCCATGCTCCTGTAGGAAAATCCTCTGAATAATAATCACAGTCTACTTGCTTCACACTAGGTGGCCCTCTGGTAGCTCGTGTCCCGCAGCTGTGGCTTCCTCTTTAGAATCAAGAATGGAGAGGGTGATTGAAGGAAGAATGCCAATATGTCTTCTTTTTTATTTGTTTTAAACCAATAAACCTTTTCCTCATTAAAATTTAAGTTTAAACTAATTATAAAAGACTGCTGTGCGGAGATAATAGAAAACATCCTGAATTCTCAGAAGCAGAGTTTGAGATTTGCGATGTGCATTTGGGCCCCTGCCTCTGCATCAGGAACTTGGCTTGTTTTTGGTCAGCTTTACAGAGAGCCTGAAATACAGCTTTCTTCACTTTTTCTGATTTCAAATGAAATTTCTCAGGGAGGGGGTGTTCAAAAGAAAGACAGCTTAGCATTTGGTAAAATAGAAAGCTTTGAAGAAGTTAAGTGGAGTTGTATACAGTCGTATACATTCTGCATTGAAGACCAGTTCAGAGGAATCCCTAGAGCTTTCTGCAACCTCTTCCTGTAACCAGAGGAAGCGTGTCTTGCCTGATGATGCCGTCATGGATAACAATGGCAGCGAGCATTACTGGGTGTTTGCTACGTGCTGGTCATAGTACTTAGATTGTATATTCATTCATTCTATTCCGAGTTCAGGCTTTTCATTGTACGCTGATATGGTGGAAGGGGCTAGACGTCCCTCTGGGACTTCTTTTATAAGGGTGCTAATGCCATTCATGAAGTCTGCACCCTCATGACCTAATCACCTCCCAAAGGCCCCAAGTCCTAATACCATCATCTTTAGGGGTTAGAATTTCAACATATGCATTTTGTAGGTCACAAACATTCAGACCATGGCACCTACCCTTCTCCCAGTGGTAGTCATTCTTTTCAGTTCTGACTCACTGTTAACCAGAATTTACCTACATGAGTTGTTTTAAATGCACATGTCCAGGTTACAGCCCCAGGAATTCTTAATTTCTTGGTTCTTGGAAGAGGCTTGAGCATATCAGAAGTACCTAATGACTCTGATTTAACAACTAGGTCAGTGAGCCTCTGAAACACTCGGGCTGGAGGGGACACCTACGTGCACCTGGCAGCTTCCAGGGTGTCGCAGTGGCTGGTTGGCGTGTTCGCAGCCCCCAGAGGAAAGCGGTGGGTTGTCCAACCTCTTGTGATCTTCAGCTCTGGGCACAGGGCCTGTCATAGACTCAGCCTCCACCCCGTGCACTGAGCGCCATAACCTCCGGTGGTGGTCTGCCTTGTGGTCCCGTCTACCCCACTGCTGGGCAGACAGCACGGTTCATTCCGAAGTGGGGTTCAGCAGAGGCCGAGCGTGGAAGTGTCATTTAAAGAATTGTCATTCGGACTTTTTTTGTATAGGCCAAGAGTGAGGTCTTGCCTGTTTTCAACTCACCTTCTAACTTTGCACGGAGTACGGCTTCCTTCCCCACTGATTGGGTCGGCTCTGAGTTTCAGTGAGATCTTAAAGCTCTTGCTTTCTACCCGCCGTTCTGCTGCCTGAAGGCCTGTTGGCATGTTTGAAACAGAACGGGAGCATTTCTGTTCCATCTCCACTGCCTTCTTCCTCCTCCCTCAGACATGTCACTGTGCTGCGCTGAGCGAGGAGGATCCCTTCTGATGGACGGTGGCCGCCAGGGCCCGGTAACCAGCCGTGGCTCGTGTGTGCTCATGTGTCACCAGGCCTGTAGATTCTGAGGATGAAATCTCCATATATGCATCCTAAATCAGTTTCCTCCTCTCACCAAAGCATATATCGAGAGAGAACCCAACTTGCTCGGCATAGCCATATTCTCAGAACAGCCCTCCTGTCCCCCGTGGCCTCTACTTGGAGGACGCCACTCCTCCCATTAGAAACCCAAACCAAAAAGATGTCTTCCTTCCAGCTCAATTATTCTGTCATTACAAGATATTAGGCTGGTGGACTCCCTATTGGTTGGGTCTCCTGTTAATGTTATATGCGAGACCTTTTTAATTTTGAGCTTCTCTATGGATATTAATTTTAATGAAACACTATATTGAAGAAACGGTAGAGTTGGGGGAAGTAGGAGGAGGAAGGGAGCAGAGACAAGCAAAGAGTAATAGTCTGTAACTCAACAGCAAGTGCGGCTTATGAAGATCAAGTTGTAATTCTGCTTCATGGATCATTGTCAGACAAATTAAGAACATATTGTTTCTCATTTATCTATTGTCAAGGATGCAATCTCAAGCATTGAGAATAAATCTTGATTTTCATAAGCTTAGTTGACACGATGGAGCCACAGAGCATAAAACTTGCATCTAATAAAGTATGATGTGGAACTGCAGGGGTACGAAGCCAGCCCCGCTCCCAGCTGCCTCCTGTTCCTTGACCCTGGTGTCAGGGATGTTACTTAACAGGGAGGGATTGGAATAGACAAGATTGCTGCATTTGTTGTAAGAAAAGCCCAGTCTTAAAGATCGGGGACACTTATTTTCAGCTTTTGTTTGTGAGTTTCTATCTTTGTAGCTACCCTCCCGCCACACCCCTCCCTCCCACATCCCTAGAATGAGTGTGTCAAATTTCGCACCAGGCATGTCCATGGGCTCCTCTTCTGTGGGTTGGTGTGTGAATCTTATGCACTGCTCAGTGTTACCTGGATGGTTCATGGAGCACTCGTAGCTGACGGAAATGCCTCGTAGAGATTGTTTTGAATTCTTGAAGTTCAAATATGAAAATTATATTTTTATTTGATTAAAGATAAGGGTCTCAGTTTGAAAAATTGTAACTCAGGATATGTAGTAGAAATCTCTAAAATAATAAAAGTAAAAATGTAGTAAATAATTTAAGTGTTTTCAGTAATATTTAGTAAAACATCACTTCCTCAAATACCATAATACCAAAATTAGCATCAGTGCCGTGAACCGTGAAGCTTACTTTGGACTTTTAAAGGTGCTCACTTAAAGCTGGTGCACGTGAGGGAACGCAGGTCGGGTTTGCCGGTGGGGTGGATTGTGTTAGTTGATTGCAAAGGGCCACAGGGAACATGTTGGGGTGATGGAAACGTAGAAGAATGTCCAAACTCATCTAACTGTACTTAAATGGGCGTGTCTTATTGTATGTAAATGATACTTTGGTAAAATTGATATTTTAAAATTTTAATGTTCCTTTATTTAATAGCATCAAACTTAATGGAAGCTATGACCTTTAAAATAGTACCGCATCCCCTACACCACTGGTCACTGTAGCTAAACAACTAAATGAACTATGTAAATGCCAGTTAGGTAACATCCTGGAGCACAGTAAGTTATTAAGGAGAAGCTGAGGTGTATGGAGTTGGTCACTGCTGCCCGGGGGTGGTGGTTGAGGGCAATCTCGTCCCCAGGTGTCCCTGTCAGTGAAATGGTCTCAGGCTGCTCGATCCCAACCCAGGAGCAAGAGAGACAGCAAAAGGGAAATGGTTTCTAATGTACCTTCTCTGGCCGGTGAACCCACCCACCAAGAGGTCGCCCGTTCGATTCCCGGTCAGGGCCCATGCCCAGGTTGTGAGCCTGAACCCTGGTGGGGAGCATGCAGGAGGCGGCCAGTCGATGTTCTCTCTCATCGATGTATCTCTCTCTCCCTCTCCCTTCCTCTCTCCCTAAAATCAATAAAGAAAAAAAAATTAAAAATAAGTAAATAAATACCTGTACCTTCTTTCCTTTGGCCAGTTGCTGCGAAGCTCTCTGGTGAACAACAGGACGCAGGCCAAGGTGGCGGAGGAGCTGGGCATGCAGGAGTACGCCATCACCAACGACAAGACCAAGCGGCCCGCGGCGCTGCGGACCAAGACGCTGGCCGACCTGCTGGAGTGTGAGTGCCCCCCCCCCCCCCCCCCCCCGGTCTGAGCACAGGGCCCAGCATTTCCCTCCTTTTCTCCCTGGGTTCTGACTAAGGGAACCTCTCTCCTGTTTGAATCTGTGTTCATGCTTTCCTCTGTAGCTTATTTGAAGGAGAATAATTTGGAGTTAAGACATATGAATAATGAATTTTATGTTCAATCTGTGTTCAGGGTGCCCCCTCCAGCCCCTCCACACCCCTGCACCCTAATGCTCGGCCCTCACATCCCTCGTGTGAAGCCCTGACAGAATATGAAGGTTGGTCACAGTGAATCAGAGCTTTTTTTTTTTGGCCTCCCAGCAGCCTTTATACAGGGACATAGAAGAGAGAATTTGCTCCCTCACTAACACTAACCATTGTTTCGAATGAACTCAGAGCTCTATGGACAGATGTTGTTCGCTCTTTCCAGTATGGTCTGTTAGCATCATGAATGATCCTGTTATGGCTGACTGAGGGATTATACACATCATCTATTGTTTCTGATGCTCCTTAAACATAAGTGGGCCATGCACTGGGCCTTGGAACCATTTAACGCTAAGGCGTTTTTGACCATTGGAATTATATACAGATATTCAAAAGCTGCTCATTTACCAAGTACAAAGGCAATCTGACTAAGGAACCTAAAAAAAATATTTTTCAATTAAAGAAAAGTAACTTAAGTATTAAAAGTATTTGTAAACTGAGTTTAGTTTTCATTCTCACCGGCTTTTTTTTTTTTAGCTCTATGAAAACTATTTTTATTGCTTTTTTTTTTTTTTTTTCATGAAATCGCCTTTTCTTTTTCATTAATTTATTTTTGTTACAGATGTTTCTCCTTTTTCCCCCATTGACACCCTCCTCCCCATCCGCCATCTCCCCCCTCCCCAGCTTTGTTGTCTATGTCCACTGGTTATGCATACATGCATATAAGTTCTGTTATTTCCTCTTTTAAAGCTCACCGTTTGTTTACTTGGTTAAGGTACCTTTCATTTTAATCCTCACCCGAGGATATTTTTCCCATTGACTTTTTGTTTTAGAGGGAATAGAAGGGAGGGAGAGGAGGAGGAGGGTGGAGAGGGAGGAGGAAGGGGGAGAGAGAGAGAGAGAGAGAGAGAGAGAGAGAGAGAGAGAGAGATGGATAGTTTGCCTCCTGCATGTTCCCACACTGGGGCTGGGGATCGAACCTACAATCCAGGTACATTCCCTTTACCAAGAATTGAACCCACGACTCTTTGGTGCATGGGCCAGTGCTCTAGTCACTGAGCCACACTGTCCAGGGTAGTTAAGGTACCTTTTAATGAAGGTGTCTTTGAGATCATTAATTAATGGAAAGTTAGATATATTGTTGTAGTCATTAAGCTCAGAGTTATATTTTTCTGTGTTTGGGCAGATTGAATCTATAAATTGTCCCATTTCTGTTCCTGAAATGGAACACAGACCCTTGTAAATGGGTGACCTCCTCAAGATTGGCAGGCCCCAGGGATGTGCTCATTCTGGTGTCATACCTGGTCTTCAGGTTTTATTGTGATTTATTTGACGTTAGCATGGTTGTGTTCCCAGATATCATTCTTCCCCTGCTGTGACCTCTGGGTGACCTCAGGGTGTTCCCAGATATCATTCTTCCCCTGCTACACAATAGCATTTTCTCTGTCATTTTAACTAACATAATTTAGCCCTTATCCAAATGTAATTCGAGCTTCATACTCCGTGACTTTGCATCTTAACCGCATATCGATACTGTTGCTTCTGATATTTGTGATAAAGAGTAGTTCTTGTTTAAAGAACGATGGAATGGCAATGCTAAAAAACAAAAGGACCTGGAAGATGAAAACTTATTAAAGCGTTTCTTCACCCCTAGGTCTCTTATTCTTCCTGGTAAGTGGGAGTGCTCATGGTTTATTTCAAATGTTCTCTTTTTCAGCATTTGTTGCAGCCCTGTACATCGACAAGGATTTGGAATACGTTCACACTTTCATGAATGTCTGTTTCTTTCCGCGGTTAAAAGTAAGCTCACATAGAATTTAAATTGGCTGTATGCTTTACATGTGGTGATCTCAACCTGTTACTAAATGCTTTTTGGGGCCTTGCTACAGGAGTTCATTTTGAATCAGGATTGGAATGACCCCAAATCCCAGCTTCAGCAGTGCTGCTTGACGCTTAGGACGGAAGGGAAAGAGCCAGACATCCCTCTGTACAAGTGAGTACTCCCTGCCCACAGCCAGCAGACCGGTGAGCTCAGAGCTGACGGTGGCCAGGGCCCTGGACTGAGGCTTCTTAACTGACTCGGCCCAACATGGAAAGTCTTTGGGCCCCTCAGTCTTGTTGCTCCAAGTAAGTGTGTCACTGTTGATTATCCAAGCTTCTTCCCGTCTCTAAAATGCTGTTAGAACTGCTCCCTATGAGGAAGACATGCTAAGATTAGGAGACCAAGATGAGAACAATTCAGATGGAAGCGTTTATGTACATTTTTGTATTTGTCTTCTTATTTCCTGTAACCTGTCGCTGACAGGTGCGCTCTCAGGCGGTCACTAAGAGGGGGCAGGTCTTCCCTGCTGCTGTGTTACTCAGACACGGGGAACTCCCTTCTCAGAACGTGTAGCAGAGCTGCTGAGTGCGTCCAAGTGTCTTCAGGGGCAACTCGTCCCTGTCTGAGTGATAGCCAGAAATTCAGGGGTGCCGGTCACTGTGCACACGCCTCAGCTGTGATGGACACAGCAGGTTTGACTCTTGAGTCCAGTAATTATCTCGAGGCTCAGCGCTAATTCAGAAGGTGGCTTCCAAGAGGGGTTACAAGGAGGAAGAATTATCCAAACGGGGTTGCTTCCCAACGCACTATCTGGGGGTGTGTTTCTGAGGATGTTTAAACATCCAGTCTTGGGACTGTTCACCCTTCTCTGCACATACAGGGCTGAGGACACAGGTTTGTGTGAGTGTTCCCCGTGGAATGCAAGCCCCCCTCCTGTGGACTTTTCCAACTTCCAAATACTCAAGGAAAAACACCAGAGTGGCAGCAGGGAATTTTAAATCTTTTTATATGTTTTCATTTAATAGTCACAACACAATATAGGCTTTTTAGCTAAAAGAAAAACTGAGCCCTGGCCAGCTTGGCTCAACGGTCAGATCATTGGCCTATGGACTGAAGGGTCTCAGGTTCGGTTCCCTGTCAAGGGCATGTACCTGGGTCACAGCTTTGATCCCCAATTGGGCGGGCGCATGTGGGAGGCACCTCTCTCGAATCAATGTTTCTCTCTCTTTCTCCTCCTCCCTTCCACTCTATCTAAAATCAATGGAAAAATATTCTCAGGTGAGGATTAACAGAAACAAACAAAAACTGAGGCCAAGAGAAATTTGTGTCACTCCACAGCAAGCTATAAACATTGTCCTAAGAAGCTGTCACTGCTAAACAGTGTTTCCTTTAGTGGGGGGAAAAATCCAAATGTTTAGAACTGGTATTTCAACATGTGCCTAATAAGCATAATGAATGTCCCAAATGTATTACATGAAAGGCTCAAAGTATTTTCTCATCAAAGCGATAATTAAGGTTCAAGAAACAGAATGAGGACGATACACTTCTCACAGCGCAGGCGTGGTTGCTGTAGGTGCTGCCGTCCAGGCCGTGCGCCCCCTCCCTCGGAGAACAGAAGCCCAGAGGAAATGACTGCTCCCTTCTCATAAATCCCCAAACAAAGGACACGGAGCTCGTCCTCTTCATCAAGATGAGGGGCTGTTTTACATAGTTGTTTTTTTTAAGATTAACGGGTTCATTCCATTATCTTTTGTTGGCTACTTTTAATTTCCCCTTTCCATGAAGTTATCAGTTTCCCCGCGTTTGAGATCTGCACCGTGTCATTAAAATCCGGAGTACCCGGAGTTTTGTTTTTCGGCAGTGGTGGTGTATGCGCGCAGTTGTGTTGTGGGCTCGGCATTATCGCACCCCTTCGAAATGATCTCAGATGTTTCAGAAACGGAATATATTTTCTGATGTTTCAGATAAGGTAACAGACATCAGAAAGAACCCATAAAGGAGGTGACACCGTTCAGATATTCATTGTTTTTAGCTGCGGTTAGCACTGGCAAACAATGGACAGATTGAAATGATTCACTTTTCACTGATAAAAGTTTGTGCATTTTTTGATACTTGGAATATACATACTTTGAAATTGCTTAAAATTATTTTACACTCACTATTAGCCTTCAGATACTATTTATAATTTATATTATTTGTACTTTGGGGGAAAATGTGTATAAATCTAGTTTTAGAATGTTTTAAATTTCCTATGTCAAAAGCTTATATATATTTGTCAGGCTTAGCCAATGTAAAACTTATTCCTTTAATTTGCTTATTACTGTTGCCTTCCTCTGCCTAAGCAATGAGTGCACGTTGAATAACACTGTCCCACAATTATGCCCTCCCCTTTCAGGACTCTGCAGACGGTGGGGCCATCCCATGCTAGAACCTACACTGTGGCCGTTTACTTCAAGGGAGAAAGAATCGGCTGTGGGAAGGGACCAAGGTAGGAGAAGACGCTTTCAGTTTCTCCCGTGAACGTCCCGTTGCCTGAGAAGTCCCTGCTTGGTATTTTCAGACTGTGCAGTCTGTCTTTCTGAAATCAGAATCGAGAATGTTTTAGGGTCATAGCGTGAACCCAAGGACAGATGCCCCCAGTCCAGCCCCACTTGAGTGTGCCTTGGACAGTGGGCGTGCCAGTGCCTGCGGCACCTTGGCTGCCTGGAGAAGCCACACTGCCTGGCGCACAGGTGAGGCCGTCCTGGTTCCCCAGCAGAGAACCCGCCACGGCCGCAGGCATTTTAGGAACCGTCCTGTGTGACCGTCATTAGACATTTGATCTCTTCGTGCTACTTGAGCTTTGTGGAAGTGCTAACATCCTCAGGGTGAAAGGAACCGCGGTGTTACCACCTTTCTCTGAACCCTCTAATCTGTGTGTCAAACTGAGAAGTGATTAGAAGTCGGTCTATACATACATTTTTTACTCTTTGCCTCTTTGAGCGCTACACTGAGGATGTTCAAATTTAAGTAGGAAATACTTCAAATGTAGTATAAATGGAAGGCATTTTATTGCAGTATTAAAAGTGTGGAATGAATAACTTAAACAGGCTATGTGCAAATAAATGACATTTCTGCATGTCCTTGTGTATATTCCTATCTGTGCAATTCAGTAGGTGACAGTAGAAGTAATCAGATAAAGTTTTATGCACCAAACATGAAAATCAGCCTGAATAATTTGTAGTCATACCATTTGTTTTTGAAAAAAATTCTTTAACTTAAAGTACACCTCACCTGTATTTTATTTAATAGTATTCAACAAGCAGAAATGGGAGCAGCAATGGACGCACTTGAAAAATGTAAGCCTATCTTTTCTTCTATGATTGTATGTTCATAATGTAATAAGTGTTTTACGGGAGGAAAATGGGAAAAGAGAAAAATGGTAAGCACTGATAAAATGTGATCTTTTCTTCATAATTAGTCTTCACAGAGAGTGCAGTAGGATGTGAGATATGTATAAAACGGGCTTATGATTTTATACAATGTTCCTGAATGCCTTTGATGTTCATTTTCCTTTTTCATAGTCCCACTCAGCCCCAGTAACCATGCGAACAACCTAATGTATTTCTCTCCATGTCGCTCTGAAATCTTATATTGCAGGTTTTTTATTTCTAGATTTTGGCCATTGTTTTCTGCAGCAGGATGAAACTTACACAATTCTGTGCATCTTCCTTCTCTTGCTCGTCTCGGGCAGCCTTGCAAGTCACTGTGGCTCAGTCTGCACTGTCGTTCACGCTGTAAATGTGCTGTAGCTGTTCGGGTTTTTATCATCATCATTAGTATTATTGGTGGACACTTTTTTTTTCTTCACTATCAACAATAAATGTCTATATATTGGTGCTTTTAGTTCTGTGGGAGATTCCCAGAGTGGGTCGGCTGGGTTGAAGAAACTTCAGTGACATAATTGACCATGTAGGGAACTGCTTAGTCTTTTGTAAATTGAAGGTTTAAGTGTAAGAAATTTTTCTTCTGAGGTGTATTGTGCTATTCAGCAGAACCTGTGGGCAGAACCTGGCAAAGCACCTCCACTGTGCTTCGGGTACTAGCCGAGGGTGGGAGAAGCAGAGCGCTGGACGCGAGGAGGCCGGGGTCCGGCCATGGGAGAGGGCCAGCAAGGGCCAGAGGGCCCGCAGCCGGCGCCCCAGCAGACCGCAGGCTCCGGGCCGGGAGGGGCGGGCAGCAGGCCGGGGGCGAGGCTGCGGTTCAGTGTCCATGGCGTCTTCATGGGCCTTTCTGTTGACTCGGTTGGGAAACTTTCTCATCTATTATATTTAAATGCACGATCACATATTGAAATACAAATGAGATTCCATTTTCCACTATAAGATTGTTAAAGTTATTTTTAGAGGGTTTTTTGTTGTTGTTTTGTTTGCTTTCAACGATACAACAGTACTGGAGAGAGAGCCTATTCTGAGACCACCCCACACACGTACTCGTAGGAGTGAATTGTTTCGACGCTGGGAAGCACTTTGGCTGAGAGGATCCAGTCCTTACAGCACTTTACCCTTTGATCCGGAGATTTCATTTCCAGGAGTCAAACTTAAGGAAGTAATCGTACCATCATAATTGTGACAACTTGATTTATAATAGCCAAGAAAGAAATATATAAATCAAACTGCCTGTTTAATAGTAGGGAAATGTTTAATTATGGGATATCCCAGGGGTTGGCAAACATGTCCTGTAAAGGTCCAGATAGGAAGTAGTTAGGCTTTGCAGACCTTGCAGTGTCTGTCGGGGGACTGTTCTCTACTGTTGTAGCCACAGGATGGACAGACTCCCAGTGCGTGGTGTCCGTGTTCCCTGACGCCGTGTCTCCCCAGACGGGGAGGGCTGCCTCTGCCTGTGGGCAGTGGTTCACCAACCCTCCCCTATTCAAACGGTGTAACATTTTGCAGCCATTAAAATAATATAGGGGGTGGGGCCAAACTAGGTTTATGAGACAGAGTTTATTCTTGTATTGTTATTAATTAATTATTGTATTGTTTTCTATACGAACAACTGTAAACCTATTCTTGCTCCACCCTGAGTTTTTTGAAGGCTAATGACATGGGAAAATGTAGAATAAGTGAAAAAACATGTGTCCATAAAACATACCTATAGGGTACTCTCCCAGCGTGAGGGAGGAAGGGGGGCGTGTTCATGGTTTGTGTGTCTGTGTGATACGTACACGTTCAGTGTGCACGTGTGCGCAGTACGCCTGAGCTTCGTGGGAACGGCTCCAAGGCCAGTCTGAAGGCGTCAGCGACCAGATCTGAGTGGGGGGATTTTGTTTTTAATGTAGATTAAGTTTTACAATAGAAGTTACTGAGGAAGTAAGGTTTATTTATAGAAACTTGCTCCACAGCTGGCTTTTTGGGATTTGTTTGATTTATATCTTCAAAAGTACTTATAGTACTTAAAACCTGTGCTTTGGACAATACAGAAGGAATCAGTGAAATGTCGTGTGATGATAAGATTGTTCCTGTTTTATTCCTAAAATGCAGGCGCCACCACATTCCTCTTGCGTTTAAAATCAGTCACTGACTCTCAGGTCATTGGGATGTCGACTGATTCGCCACCTGCCTTTCAGGTGCTTTTCCTACCCCCCGTCCCTGCATCTTCTCTCCTCCAGGGTGAGGATGGGATGCTGTATGCGAGCGGCAGGGGAGGAATTTAGGAACACGGGGTATGTACTATTCTGCTTCAACCTTAGAAAAAACAAAACTACTTTTCCCCAGGCACGCTGTATTCTCCCACATCTCTGATTCTTCGTATTTTTTTTTTTTTAATCCTCACCGGAGGACATTTTTTCCATTTTTTGTTCAGGTAGAGTGGGAGGGAGAGAGAGGAACAGAGAGAGAGAGAGAGAAACATCGATGTGAAAGGAACACATCTAGTGGCTGCCACCCACACAACCAACCAGGGCCGGGGACAAACTGCAACCGAGGTACATGCCCCTAGCGGGAACCGAACCCGGGTCTCTCAGGACCGCAGGCCGATGCTCTAACCGCTGAGCCAAACCGGCCAGGGCTGATTCTTCGTATTTTTAAATACGAAGTGGGACCTTGTATACACCAGTCCCTTCCGCGGCCTGGCAGGGCAGCGTCCTTTTCCTGTGACCGGTGACTCGTGTCGCTCATTCCTGCGTGCCTCCTGTCGGCGTTCGTGCTGAAGTGTGTGTGCTGACGGAGAGGGTGGGGTGGCTCTTTCTCGTCCATGCTTGATCTCTCACTCCATGGCTGCTCTTGTCGGAGACCTCAAATGAATTGTAAAGCTTTAAAATCTTAGTCAAGATTTCGACTGCTTCAACACTCTTGCACAGGGTCAAATGTCAAACTAGATCTGGTTTTAACTATTCCACTGAGTGATGTTCCCTTTGACTGAGTACAGATGCTCCCCTTGAGCTGCTGTTGCCGATGCAGCTTTGGGCTCCTCGTGGTCAACTTGAAAAATAGAATTATCAGAAGTGGTGACTTAGAATGTAGCCTCCTTTGGTCCATCTGATCTTTTTGGCTCTTTTCAGAAACTTTATTTCTTGGTAAATCATGATGTGATGATATCATTTGTTTGAAAGTTTTGGTTTGAGCTTTGCGAAAATATGCAACTCCATTTGCTATAACCTTTACTTTCTTCCTGAAAAATCACTTCTTGCTAAGAGCATTGTGTGAAAACGTCTGGGATCGTTCTGAAACTGCGTGTTTAACACTCTGGTGTGTATTGATGCCTCTTACACTCGAGGTCACATGGCACATGGCGATCTAGAGTCGGGAGTGCCGATCCACACTTCCAGTGTGTTTCGAACAATACGAGAGTAAGGGAATACATGAGCATTGTTTTTTTCTCTTGCCTTACAAAACACAGCTGTTTGTATTTCCTATGAATATGTGTTTGCATGTGTATACCTTCGGTTTGCGCCATTCTTTGCGCTACTGGCTGTCCTTTATTAAGTATACAATGTATCTCCTCGTGCCAGATAACTTTCCCCAGATGGCCCATCAGAAGCGGTTCATTGAACGGAAATACAGACAAGAGTTAAAAGAAATGAGGTGGGAAAGAGAACATCAAGAGAAAGAGCCCGACGAGACTGAAGACGTAAAGAAATGAAGGAGGACACGGGAGTCTGGCGGCTTGACTTGCTTACCACCTGCGACGGTTGCCCATTGAGGTGAACCCTGGTTTTCCTACAGACAACAAGTGAAGTGTGGCGGTTGAAATAAAACCCAAAATCAAATCACTATTGTTGTTTTACTGATCTTATATTATGTTTTTAGCTGCGTAGTCTTTATTACCAGGTATCTGATTTTTCTTCACTTGAGTGGATATGCATATTCCCTTTTATTTTTTTCTTTAAACAATAAAATTTAAACAGTTTATTCTATGTGGAATAGACCCTGGTTTTCTAGCTCTGTCTGAGATTATTACGCCAGACTTTCAGCTGATGAGTGAAAAATTTCTTTACCAGATATTTGGACTACTCTCTTCTAACATACATCCTTTTTGAAATCTCTGATTATTAACTAAATTTTTTTAACTTTATTTGGATGTTTATCAAATTCTCAGCTACAAATATTGACCTTAACCTTCTCTAAGCAGTGAATTCTTTGTAAATGGAATTTCTTTATTTTTTTTTTTATTTTTATTTTTTATCCTCACCCGAGGACATTTTTCCACTTTTTGTTCAGGTAGAGTGGGAGGAGAGACAGGAACAGAGAGAGAGAGAGAGAAACATCGATGTGAAAGGGACACATCGAGTGGTTGCCACCCGCACAACCGACCAGGGTCGGGGACAAACTGCAACCGAGGTACATGCCCTTAGCGGGAACCGAACCCGGGTCTCTCGGGACCGCAGGCCGACGCTCTAACCGCTGAGCCAAACCGGCCAGGGCTGTAAATGGAATTTCTTTACTGGGTAACGAGAGGGGAAAAGTCAAATTTGAGTCACATATGTTCTTTGAATCATTAGAATAGGGGCAAAATCATTATTCTAAACCAGACAACACTTTAAATCAGTATCTCTCACCCTGGGGTCAGTAGACACTTTAAGAAGTTAATCGATGGACTTCAGGGAACTTTCAGAACCTCTGAATTGGTGTGTGTTTGGGTTTGGGGAGGAGTTGGGGGGCGGAAGAGAGGATTCATAGCTCCCATCAGTTCATAGTGGTCCCTGCAGCAAAGAGTTAACATTACATTAAAAGACATGGCATTTAAAAAGATGTTATATTAAATTGAACATCACTGCTTTCTTATTAGTAAAGGCAAACCTTTTTTAAAAAATGTGGTTTCACTTGTTATTTTAGCAAGTACATAGTGAGAATCTGCTGTTTTAGGCACTGGTCCAGGCTGTGGGGCTACCGCAGTGAGCAACACACACACATACACACATGTACACACACATTAGAGGGAAGAGTGAGAGAGAAGACCTCTAATTAGTTAACCAGAAAAGTGTAAGATGTGCCTGTCGGAAAAGGTTGTCCTGCCCCCCTCGCCCCCACAGACAGCAGTACTGGAAGGGAAAGAAGGCCGGATTCAGCAGGTGTTCTTGGAAATGTTGCGAGCAAATGCAAGGGAACATTTGAGCTTGTGTAAGTGAGCATCTCCGTGCATCTTGCACGTGCGTCCGCACAACGCTGAAGCCGCGTGCTGTCCAGGACTTCTGCTGGACTCTGACGTATCTTTGTGTTAGTGTTCTGGCCCGTTTAAGGTTCTCTCTCAGATTAGTGGCTCTTGAAACCTGGAGAAATTAAGTCCACAAGACACTAGAGTCCCTGTTGCATTGAAAGCTGACAAACACCATCAGAGCACACCAGCCCTGCTGGCCCGATAGTAAGTGTAAAGCCAGCAACCAACTTCTGAACTAGCCACGGACACGACTCGGCAGGCCACCGTGACCGACTGCAGCCTCCACCCTGCCTCCTGTCCAGCCCAGCCCCGCCGTCTCTCCTTCCGGTTCTGGTCACTGTGCCAGTGACAGTGTGAAATCCTACCTGATTTCACCTGTGTCACGTGCTGTTCCTGGAGGCTGGAGGTCTCTGGGGAGACATGAAGCGATGGTGCCTCTACAAAGGGCCTTGAAATGCGACTGGGAGGGGAAGGAGGGAGAGGAGGCCAGGCAGGGTCGGCTTCAGAGGAGTTGAGACTTGAGATAACTGCACTGTGAAGATGAGATGGGGCTTATAGGACGGGGAGGACACTTCCTTCCAAGGGAACAGCAGGATTCGGTGGGAAGAATATGGTTCGGAGCCTGCTGTGTCATTCCGTGGGAAATATGAAGGCCTGAATCAAGGCCCTGGGCATGGGGGAGCTGGGGTAGAACTGATCGGAAAAATACACAGGAGGTAGAGGCACAGACATGGAGCAGGGCAAGGTATCTCAACTTGGTGCTATTGGCATTTTGGGCCAAATCGTTGGGGCAGGGGGGACTGTCCTATGCACGTAGGATGTCTAGTTGCATTCCTAGCTTCTACCCATGCAACCAGTAGCGTCCCTTCCCCCAAGCTGTGACAACTGAAAGGACCTCTAGATGTTGCCTAATGTCCCCTAGGGGAAAAAATCACCCCTGCTTGAGAACCCCTAATATAGGACAGCTGTTAAAGTATAACAATCATGAAATTAAAGCAAATCTTACTTAGGAATAAGGGGGTTTGGAGAATATTGTAAGATTGATTAGTATTTGTAGCATTATATCCTGGGCATAAAAGATTAAGAGTCCTTGTCCTCAAGGGGCTTACAGTTTGGAAAAGGCCATCCTTACACCCATGTCCATAAAGTGCCATTTGAAGGATCAGCGGGGGAGTGACTCGTTCCTTCTGAAGGGGGGTAGGGGTCAGAGGAGGCCAAACCTCCCTGCGAGATGGTGTCGACTCTGTTCCTCATGACATAAAGCCCTTTTTTCAGGACAAAAACGATTTCATTTTTTAACCACAATATTATTATGACACCTAACAAAATTATCAAAAACTCCTTAATAACTTCTAATAATCAGGCTATCTTCAAGTGGACTGGTTTTTATGTCTCTTAACTCTATATCTAGACTATTTCTCCGCTCCCCCAGCTGTGCCCTAGATTTCCCAGGTTCTGGACGTGATTCTTGTGGCCTTCGCTTTTCCCCTTTGTCCTCTGTATTAGGTGTGAAGGCTTGACTTTGGGATTAGCTTCAAAATTTGTGGCAAACGTATATTTCAGACTCGTCCCCCCCCCCCCAAACAATGATTTCAGCAGTGCCAGTTCTCAGATTTTTTTGGATAGTTGCGATGGTTAGTTGTGTGTGTCAATGCAGCAAGGCAAGGGATTAGCTAGGTCTGTGGTCCTGCGTTATGCAGCCATAGAAAACAAGTATTCGTGTGCCCTTCCTAAATAATTGCTTCATGTCACTGTCCTGTTTAAAATATTTCATGGGTTCCCCATTGCCTATAGGATAAAGCCCAAATTCCTTATAGCATGAAATTCCCTCGTGACCAGAATTCGTCTCTTCCGCTGGCTCCACACCCTCGCACCTCTGCACAGAACACATTGCAGGTATTTAAACACATTCTCCTTTGTCTCAGTCCAGGACTTTACACTGCCTGAAATAGGCTCCCTCCTTGCTAATTATCTCTCAGGTATGTTTGGGGCCTCAGCTCAGGAATTATCTCCCGCAAGCCTCTCCTTGGACTTAAACTTGGGTTAAATGTACATTGTTGGGCTCGTTCCCGAATCACATTTGCCTCAGTGTATTGTCACTGTCTCTTGACTCGCCCAGCTTCCCCGCATTGGACCACAAGCTCCTGGCGGGCAGGACCATCACTAATCCACCTTTGCACCAGGGGCTCTCCGTGGGCTCCCCATCCCTCTTGGCTGAATAAAAATAACCAGATGGCTGCTTGCCATCTTTCCACAGCCTCAGTGACCTTAAAGCAGAATGACTTGCTCCAAGCAACCTTCCTCGAGGAATTCTGGGGCTACGGTGCAGAGAATGATCCATTGGAGGCCGGAGCGTCTGCACCCTCTCTGTTCTGCACTTGGACTTGGTCAAGAACGAGGTCTTAGAGGGGGACAGCACGAGCCCAGTGGAGTCCAGCAGGGAGCAGAAGCGCTTGTCCTCTCCTGTCTTCCCTGAAGCTGTGGTTCTAAACCTCTCCACGGTAGGGAGCTCACATTAACGGACAAGCAGATAGTAGCTCCAGGAGCTTCATTCTAGATCAGTGGTTCTCAACCTTCCTAATGCCACGACCCTTCAACACAGTTCCTCAGGTTGTCTGTGGGCGTATCTGCACGTGGGCGGACCCGCCTGGAGACGGACCTAGGAGCGGTATCTCGGTTCCTAAGACCATCAGAAATATGTGTTTTCCGATGGTCTTAGGCGACCCCTGTGAAAAGGTCGTTCGACCCCCAAAGGGGTCACGACCCACAGGTTAAGAACTGCTGTGTCTAGGTGATGAGACAACAGTAATCTGAAGGAGGGCTTGGTCATTAGTGTCATCACCAATGAGTGGCTTGAGACAGGCTCTAGTCGCTTGACCCCCTAATCTCCAGCAGCAACTCCCTCTCCACTATTCCTTGCTATGGACAAATGGTCTCTGTTCAGTTCCATATCAAAGTATTATGTAAACACGGCTCTGAGCTGCCACCTCCAAGTAGATGCTGCTTCTATGTAGAAATTCGGGAATTGCTGTCAGCAAATGAGGACAGAAGGCTCAGTCTTCCCACGAGACCACCCCGAGATTCCCCATCATCGCTTTGCACTGCCAGGGGCCCCAGAGACACCCCCAGCGACCCCTGCCGATAACCCAGCCGGGAATGAACGCAGCTGTCCCCTCTGCCTTACCGTTGCTCCCGAGAGTTTTCTTTCGTTTCTGCTGGAGGATCTGTCAGGTTAAGGAAGAAGTTTTAAATGAAGTTTAAGAAGAGAAACACACACACACACAGCCAGCTAATCATTTGTATGCTGGATATTATTAGCCCATCACGATTGGAAACTCAGATAGCACAACCCGTGATGAAAAGGCAGCAAGGCCCTTCGCCGGCGTGACTCGGAAGCTCACCTCCGGTGTTACAGTAGCAGGGGTCTCGAAAGGAGCGGGGGAGAACAGTGGCTGCCCTGACTAGAATCCAACCAGAAAGATCAAGAGAGAGCCCTAATTGCCTTTCTTCCCAGATCAAACAATTGACTTAATCCTCCAGGCCTACACACCGCAATGTGTTTGAGGAGATTCAAATAGGTTCCTGTAGAGGATTAAGGTTTCTCTGCAGATTATACTCGTATGCCCCGTAGTTCATTGCTTGAAGTGTTAAGTAGCTTTGTCCAAATAAGCAGGGCTGGAAGGATTTTTAGACACTTACAAATCACACACTCTTTCTGAAGAACACAAGGGAGGTCTGCCCGCCACCCCTTCCTTTACA